GCCTAAGGCGGGACTAGAACTCACAGGCTCCTGGTGATTGGCCCAAGGCCACCCAGCTGGCTTTCATTCCCAAGTGTCAGGCCTGAAAGAACAGCACCAGCAGAATTAAACTCACGCCTATGCACGTTTCAATAAATACTCACAGGCTATTCCAATTACAGAAATTCAGTATTACTCACTTTCAAGAATGACAAGTTGCAGGTGGCCTTCAACGTACAACTTCAACTGACCCCAGAATATGACCTTTCTTGCCACGGCTGTTAAGTAAATCTGTCTTCCCCATTGACTTTGCTTGTCAGCAGGACTCAAAAGGGGAATCGTGTCATCCCGGGGACACTGCAACTGTCATAAGTACATGCCAGTTGTCAGGAATTTTGTTCACGTGGTCATGGCGATGCTGCAAAGGTCGTAAAGCGTGAAAAACGGTCCTCGGTCCATTTTTCAGTACCGTTGTAACTTTAAACAAGTCACTAAATAAGACGGTTGTAAGTCAAGGACTACCTGTACTCCTCAATGTACAACAGTTCATTTAGTGACCATTTGAAGTTACGACGGCACTGAAAAAAGTGACTGATGACCATTTCTCACACTCAGGACCGTTGCCAAACTCCCCACGGTCACATAATTGACATTCGGATGCTGGACAACCGGCTTCCATTGATGATGGTTGTAGCGTCCCATGATCCTGCAAATAATCCCCTTTTCTGACCTTCCGACAAGCAAAGCCAGATTCACTTAACAACCATGTTACTAACTTAACAACTGCAGTGGTTCCCTTAACATACGTGGCAAGAAAGGTCGTAAAACGGGCCAAAACACACTTAACAAATTTCTCACTTAACAACATATGTTTTTGGGCTCAGTTGTACTTTGCTGATTTTTTGCATGAGTTTTTTTTAAAAACTCTCCTCGACTCGCCAGTTTGCATCAAGTATCCTTTGCAACGAGACAAACTGGCTGGGAAAATCCGCAGTGAGTTTCTTTTCAAGGCGGCTCAGCCACCCTCCTTGACGCAATGCCCTCCAGATACATTGGACTGCGGCTAAGCGATGCCTAGCTGGCACGAGTCGTTGCTGACTGGCAGGGCTAAAGTTGAACATGGCACATACTGAGGCAGATAGATGGTGGGGTATGATATTGCAGCAAGATGTTGCTTGTCAACAGGATGAAGATTTGGGAGAATGAAAGGGCGAGGTTTTCAAGCCCCAAAGATCCCCAAACTCAAGGAATCCGCGGATAAAAAATATTCAGTATCCAGAATGGAAAGGAGGAGATAGCCACTTTCACTCGTGCTTTTTCCCATAGATAAAAGATGTTCAGGACTGTACAGCTTGTCTTTTATCTAGGGATGAAGACACCAGGCTAGAAACCAGGGGATGGGGAGTTCTAGTCCCACCTTATGTAGGAAAGCAGGCTGGATGAGTTTGGGCCAAGCATCTAGTCCTGTCAGGTACAAAAGCTGGCTGGGTGTGACAAAAGGAGACGGTGAGTTCTAGTCCTGAGTTAGGCAAGAAAACCAGCTGCGTGACTTTGAGCCAGTCCTCTCTCTCTCTCTCTCTCTCTCTCTCTCTCTCTCTCTCTCTCTCTCCCTCCCTCCCTCCCTCCCTCTCTCTCTCTCTCTCTCTCAGCCCAACCCACCTCACAAGGTCGTTATTGTGGTGGGACATAGGAGGAGGAAGGAAGGTTCACCGCTTTTGAATTATTTATCAAAAATAAGAACGGTGGGATAAATCAATAAAACTAAAACAAAAAAGGAATATCGTGGGTCTCAGTAAACTTAGTTTTGTTCTTATTATCCTACCTTTTAGGCTAAAAGTCACCAGGCAAGGTCATTATTTAAGACCAATAAGGTAGATCGCAGACGGGACTGGCTGCTTCAGCCCAGCCTCCTCTCCTATGTCTTCCCAACCCTCTCATATTAACTCCTAAGCTACATAGTGGAAGCTGGGTGACTGACTGCAGGTCGTCCTTGACTTACAACAGTTCATTTAGTGACCATTGAAAGTTACAATGGCACTGGGAAAAAAGTGACAACCGTGTTCATACGATCAAAATTCAGACGCTTGCCAACCGGTTCATACTTACGACCGTTGCCGTGTCCCATGGTCACACGATCCACTTTTGCGACCTTCCGACAAGCCAAGTCAATGGGGAAGCCAGATTCGTTTAACAACCGGGCTCCTGGCTTGTCAACTGCAGTGATATTCACTTAACCACCATGGCAAGAAAAAGTCGTAAAACGGGGCAAAACATGCTTAGGGGATGTCTCCATTAACAAGATAAGGGTTGGGCTCCGTTATGGTCGTTAAGTCAAGGTCTGCCTGTCTCTCAGAAGCTGTTGTTGCTGCTTTCTGCACACCTTTCAGGTTCCAAGGCCAACCAGCCAAGCGCCCGGTTGTTGTTGGTTCCTGGTCTCACTTCAGTATTCCCGGGGTTTCTTGAAGATGGACGCGCTTTTCTTGGCGCGTGTTCTCCCGCCTGCCGTTTTTCACCCCCTCCACACACACCTTTGCTCTTTTGAACCCTGCAGGTCATGGGATGGACAGCCGCCCCGCCATGGCTATTTTTGAATTGCTTGACTACATCGTGAACGAGGTGAGTGGCCGGGAGAAGGCGTTTTGACTCTCTTTTAACTGCGGGCCGGTCTGTTTGCATTCATGCCTTGTAAATCAGGTCCCTGGAGGCGTAGGATTAAAACGGTATGGTGGGCGGATTAAACACCTGGTGGAAGATCCGGCTTTTTGTGTTTTCGGGGCCAGGTGCTGTCAGGGTATTCTTGCCTCAGAGAATTGGTTTAATGCCAGGGTTCCAAGTACTAGACCAGGGCATCCCAAAGTTGGCCACTTTAAGACTTGTGGACTTCAACTCCCAGAATTCTCCAGCCAGCTATGCTGGCTGG